TGGAATATTAACTCTACGTAGCTCATGTCCCCATACTTTGAGACAGTGATGCCCTCTACGTACTTTATGACTGCACATTTAGTCTGCCTGCATATTGATATGGAGGCCTACGCTAAAACTCGCTGAAAATAATTGTGTAATTTTTAAGGTAAAACGATAAACACGCGGATATTAGAAGACACACGTGGTTCTGCCGATGGCATTAAAAGGTTCATGACTTGTAAACGTTTTTAACCGCCAGCATCATATCTCCTTAAGCAACAAAATTAGGCAAGAGGAAATTTTTTACAGAACGATCAAACGGTATGAATTTTCGCAATAACCTCCAAGCCAGGCACTTCACACATGCACCGAAAACCACTGGAAAATATATGCTGCCGAGGGAATCTTCCATGTGACTGTAAAGGCTGCCTTCTTGATCAAGTTTACCGTTGTTTCGGTCAAAGCTTCCGGAATTTAACTACACTCTGGATCCTTAGGTACTTGTATCGTCTACAATGAACATTTAAGTGACCGATCCTATGGGTCAAAAATTGAGTCAAATGACGGCGCTTGTGGTCTGAAGTACTATCTAAACCGCCGCTGGAAGTAATGTTGTATTCTCGAACATGCAGAGTTTTGTGTTCTTCCGATGCAACTTCGATAACGCCCGTCTAGTGTCCAAAAGGAGCTGTAATTGGTGACAACGCCACAGCACGCTTTTAAGTTAGGCGACAAAGGAACAAACGTCAGGTATTTGAACAACGAGACCTAGCAGTGATGTTAAAGGATTCGAGATAGTTTCTCGTTATGTCATCTGATAATGACGCGAAAAACATGGAATATCTTGCCAATACAAGCAAAAATGTGGTTTCCACGAAGTAGTTAAGAAGAAGCGGATGCGATCGCTGGGACCCAGTTTCTGCTATTGTCTCTGATGACGAATCCACCCTAGGAATCTGAAACGTCGGGTGAATCAGGTTTTCCTCCCCCAGCGATCGCATCTGCTTATGCTCAACCTGAAAGCCTTTTCGTGGGACGATTTAAAACCCCACAAAGCGACCTGGCGTGTGTGTGTGAGAGAAATAAACCACTTGTTGTAAAAAAGCTTAGAGCCAAGCTTACAGCAGAAGGCGGCAAGGAACTTATGTTCAGAGGCAGAAACATAAAAAGATAAAAGGCTACCGAAGATTGTCCTTGTAGGGGTCAGAGTCTGCAGAGCTTGTCCTGAGGGCCAACTCCAACAAAGATTCCAGATGTTGAACGGATATTACTAA